TTGCTTTTTAACGTCTTTTTGATTGAAAATGTTTATTACATATATACTAGGTTTTCCTAATGTTAGAATGCTTCTGTCTATTTGTATCTTTACATTTCCTCTATGAGAAATTCCCTGCTCTAGAATATTTTTTGTTACACTACTGTCTGTAGAGGTAACACTCACTCCTACATCTTCATTGTGCGTTAAATTCTATCATTATAAAATGTCCTTGTTTGCTTATTTCAATGCTCTTTCCTGCATTCCATATTTTTGATTTTAAAATTGTAATCAATGCTTTCTTTTCAGGTATATGGCCTAAATACATTTTTGCCCATACTTTTATTTTTTTTCTTTTCTGAAATACTTTTAAACATATTTGACTTTAAAAAATCTATACTGAGGATATAGATGGGGGAAGATGGCAGAGAAGAACTTTTCAGTAATTGTCCCCCACAGAAACATCAATTTGAACAACTATCCATGAAAAAAATTATCTTCACAGAAGCAAGGTGAGAGTAGCTAGTGGTAGCACAATAATAAGTAAGAAAATACACACTGAAAAGGGGGGGAAAGACTGTTTTACATTACCCACATTACTGTACCTCACATCACTCCCAACTCCAGGCAGCACAACGCACCGAGAGTTACTGACTACTTGGGGGAACGGGAGAGAAATTACCACAGGACTTTGCCTTGGACTCAAATCTGGGGCCTGTCACAATAAAATCCAGCACCAGAAAGAACCCCATAGCCACATATTCTAGTCCTCTATCGTGGACCGTGCCTCTAGACCCACCCTAGCACAAGGTGAGACACATAGCTTCAGCCTTCAGGCTTGCATGACATCTGATCTCTGGCCTGCACCACTGCCACGTCAATGTCGGCATTTTGAATTTTTAAGAGATGGCTACTTAGACTCTGTGGGGAAATACACATTTTATTTTCCTTCCAGAATACTCTCCTCAAAAGGTCATGAACAGAAAACTAAATTTTAAGATGCCATAGGTTCAAATAGCTTAATTTTTGTAAGATAAAATTTTGGCCAGGTGCTTTGGTGCACACATCTAAGTCCCAGCTACTTAGGAGGTTGAGGTAGGAGAATCACTTGAGGCCAGGAGTTACAGATCAGCCTGGGCAACATAGCCAGACCCAGCTTCTAAAAAATAAAAATGAAAAATAAATCCACCAGGCACAGTGGCACGTGACTGTGGTCTCAGCTACTGCGAGGATCAGCAACATCCAGGAGCGGCCCCAGAGTTTGAAGCTGCAGCGAGCGATGGACTGTCACTGAACTCCAGCCTGAGTGACAGAGAGAAACCACTTTGACTACAACAACAGAAAAGGAGGAAGAAGAAGAAGGAGGAGGAGGAGGAGGAGGAGGAGGGGGAGAGGGAGGAAGGGGAGAGGGAGGGGGAGGAGAAGAAGAGGAAGAAGAAGAAGAAATAATCTTGTCTACAGTGTAGTCAGTGTTTTGTCTCTCAAAATGTTTTTATTTTTTTTTTTTAAGAAATTTTGAGTATAGATTTGCCTGCAACCATTTGCTTGTCCCAATAGAGTTAGTTGAGTTCTCTTTGCATAATGCATCATGCAACATTAGAAACTGTTGTCTTAAATTATCAATTTGGTTACTATGTTTGATGGGATCATTTTCTGGTGAGTTCACAGAAAAAAATATGCTTG